ATAATACGCCTTCATCCATAATATCTACCCCTAAAAATATGCTGAAAGTGTGGAAAAATCCTTCTATTCATGCATAATATGCACCTCTTGTCTGGTAATCAAACCCTATTAACGGTACTTCTCCAATTTCATTACAGCCAGCATTTTCTACTCTTATTCACGCTGTAATTGGAGATATTTATCAAAATTTCTGATCATGATTGTAAAAGGAAACACTAATATTGTGCCTACTGTGCAGACGCATTGACCTGGTTTTGTTCAATAGAATGTACAATCTACCAGATCTGTATGTAGTTTGAGTTTGATATACATAATTTTAGTTTGCTTAATAGTTCAGATTAGATATTGATTTTCCAAGCGTAGCTTAGATGTGGCACAAGGCCAAAAGTATGAGGTACCCAGTGAGGATCAAACTCACTATTCGTAATTGTTCTAGCGAGACAAGCTTGCTAACTATTACGCCATCTTGGGGTGCCCAGGTTCAGATTAGATATATACAACTCGAGTTGTGCTTAAAAAGTAGACGGAATAAAAAAGTTGGCTTGAGAAATATTTAACAAAGAAATCAATTCAATGAAATCTATTGGTTTTGATCATGAGGCAGTTTCTGTGGAATTGAAGTTTTTCTCAGAATGGAAAGGTCGTTCCTCTTCATGAACCTGTAGCACAAATTTGGAGAGACCTTGAAAATTTCCTCAGTATTTTTTACACAAAAAATGGTTTTAAACATAGAATAAATTATTCTGATTTAGTTTTATGATAATTCTTATTTTATTTTACATTTGTAAACATTGTTAGGTACATATGATTGTATTTGATATCCTTATGGGGTTGGAATTACCAAATGTTAGTATCAAATTGTCGTATGTTTGTGGTGAGTAGTCATTTCACAACTGAAATCGACCTATGAAACGGCAATTTTTTTAAAAGATTTTTTGTAGATGTGTATAATAAGTACTCCCTAATTTTGCTTAATATCTTTCAGAAATAATTACGGTATTTACACTCTTATATTGTTTATTGGAATGGTTGGCAAAACATTGGCCAATCGATTTGAACTTTATAAAATGGTAAGCAATAATGATTTTTGTAGATGTGCATAATATGAACCCTTAATTTTGCTTATTATTTTTTAGAAAAAAATGTCTTATACAGAGGGAATTATAGTATATCAATTAACAAAAACTTTTTGCAAAAAAAAAAAGAACAGTTTCTAAGAAATTTGAATCTCATTACAGATCCATTTAAAGTTAAATGCTCTTGTAAAATTATCAATTTATTGAATTATTGGCATCAAAATCAAACAGATTTTTTTGTTTGTTTTGGTCTCGTTTTTGTTATGCCATATACTTTTCATCACCCCCATGTCTATATTTATTTATTTCACTTGGAATTCATGCTTTACAGGAAGTAGATATAAACCTGGTTTCTTCACGCTGAATCTGTTTGTCGACTGGCATATCCATGTTTATCTTTATTTATTCACTTGCTGTGGTTCATGGTGACATTCAAAGCAAAATAGTGCAATGGCTTGGCAGTTCCTTTTGTACAAGAGATATTGCGGTTGCACGATCCCTCCTCTCTGAAGTTCCTCCGCCCACTGGTAAAGCTGTTGAACCCTGAGGCACAGCTACCTGGTGACTGGCTGATAACCGCTTGGCACAGGTCGGTTGGAGAAAGGTGTTCCCGTTCACTGGTCAGGTTGAAAAACCCTTTCAACTATACACACACTGCTTAGCCAGCAGGTTGATGCCGTTGGCTATTGCAGTGCCCATGAGACTTGTTAGGACCATGTGTAAGAGTTGAATGGCCAGTCGAGTTTTGTATCCCAATTTACCTGAGTAAAGCAGGGGTCAACCACTTTGCTACAAAGGTTCTGCTACTAATGATGCACCCCATGTCCGTACTAATCATAGAAAATGGTTACCCTCTTCTTTAATGGTTTGTCCAGATTATTTGCTTTCTTTAAAAAAAAAAAAAAAATTCTTTTTTTTTTTTTTAAAATCTAAGAGCAAAAAATTTGTTTAAATCTTTCGACAAATTTTTTGTTGCTTTGAGTCTCCCTAATTAAAAAATTGATTTTTTTTTTTTTTTTTTTTTTTTTTATTATTGACAATCGTCAAAAACTTTTGGCATGGTGAGGAAAGGTCATTTAAAAGGAAGTCATATTACTTTATAATTTTTTACTTGTAAAAATCTTTCTTTGAAAATCTCCAATAGAAAGGTATAATAATGATTAATTTAATATTATTCACCTTAACTCGTTTATTTATTCATCTTAATTTGTTTACGTGGTAGAGAATAGTCTTTGTCTATTTAAGACATCCTCAGAAAATGGTTGGAAAACTGTCTAGATCTTAATATATATATATATATATATATATATATATATATATACACACACACAATAAACACATGTTTTAAGCGTCTAATCATGAGGTGTCTTTTAATACTGATGCTCCATTAACTCTATATGTAACCAACCCAGGCTTATATAGGGTGAACATGACATTATATATATCTATATATATATATATATATATATATATATAAATATATATATTAAGAAATATGCTATATTAATGGGATAAAGTGCTCAATATCAGAGATAGAGAATGTGTAAATATAAAAGTGAACATTGAAGTCAACACTTAGTGTCTAAGCGTTGGCTTCAGTGTTCACTTATATATATGTGTGTGTGTATACATGTATGGAATAATGATATATAAATTTTTATATATCAAGTACAATATTAAGGCTAAAGAATTTCGACAAAATAGAAAAAGGTTTTGTGTGAAGTGTTTCGTCCTTTAGGACTTCATCAGACTAAGTTTATATTTATGTTGATGCAATAAGCAAGAACAAAGACTAAATTTCTAAAGAACAAAACTTGTTGCATGATACTTTTTCCACTTTGTCATATTATATCTTTATTATAATAAATGACAATAAAAACATTTTACATCAATACACAAAAACTTTCATTCATTGCTTAATCTAGACATACCCATAAGTATATATTTTTTATTCTGATCTTATGCTCCCCCCTTTAACTTACAAAAAGAGGTAAACATTTGTTTATAAATTTCCCTAATAAATCATTTATATCATTTATTGTAGTTATCTACCATGGCCTGAAGAAGTACCATCTTAGTACCGAAACATGAAATTTTTTTTTGTAGTGATATAAATTTTTTTTATTGTCATCTATTATAATAAAAATATTATAATAATATTTTGCTCTATTTTGTATTGGGCACATTTTTTTAAAATGTAGATGCTATGAACTGTGGATTTTTACTTCCTCTGTTATTTCTCTCATTTATGTATGTATGTATGTATGTGTGTGTGTGTGTATATATATATATATATATATAACACATATTAATATTTTTATGCTGGTTTTGGGTATAATTTTGTCTGTCTGTTTTTCTCCTGTCTTTCTCTTTTTTTTTTTTTTCTCTCCAAGATCTCTTGTGAGATATCATTTTTTATAAAATTCTTGGAAATATTTTTTTTTCATTTTTACATCTAATCCAATTAGGGTTGTTTTTTTTTTGTTTTTTTTTTCTCTCTGTCTTTGTAGTGTCGAAAACTTGGGATAACTTTGAGAAGAATTTTTTTTTTGTTCTTTTTTTTTTATTTTCCTAAAACATCTCAGGCAAAAAAACAAAAAAAAATGCATGTTTTGTACACCTATTTATTTATTAATTTATTTTTTTTTTTTTTTAACATTTTTCATTTTTGGAAATGAATATCTCTCTCTCTCTCTCTCTCTCTCTCTCTCTGATTTAAAAAAAAATACATTGAAAAATTATCTCTGCCCCACCCTGCCATTTGAAAACCAAACATCAAAAAACATAGCAAAACAAAAAAAATAAATATACCTTTATATAAAATAGCTTTAAGCATTTAAGTACACTATTAGCCTATTTTTTCTATACCTATGTACCGATGAGTTTAATTCCTAAAAAGATTTGTAACATTAATTAATGACTCAATAATACAAATAGGACTGTGAAGTATTTGTTTGTCTGTTAACAGTTTTCCGTACTCAAATTGCATATTTAGTAATCCGAGTAGGATGTTTTCACGAACAAAATTTCTTTTCTTTCTCATGAGGAAATATGTGTTCTCACTGAGGAGAAGACTCTAACAATAAGTTTTAATTGACAAGAAGGGCCTGTGTTGCTGCAAGACATAACTAATTGCACAGAATTTAAATTTCCAAACTTATTAAAAGAATAAAGATTTGTGTTGCCAAAGTAATTCTGCATATTTAATTAAAACTTTATCAGGTGTTATCTATTGCCACTTTATAAGTTAATTTTACAACATTTTCCCTAAAACAGATGTGCAAAAATATACTTTCACAAAGACTCCCCCCCCTGACCCGTAGGGTCATAGGGACGCCATTTGTACTGCAGCTACAGTAGAAGTGGTATTAGCAGTCTGAAAAAAAAAAAAAAATGAAATTAAAAAATATTTTGAATACCACATCTAACTTTATAAAACATCACCAATATGTAAATTAACCCTTTGAACCCTGCATTCCTGAACAATTTTAACTGTTCTGCCTGAACTCTTGAGTCAAAATTTGCAAATAATTGGTATGTAATGTTTTACAGTAGATATAAAAATAGTCACAAGTGTTTAACCGGTGGTTGGACATTAAGTCATTTTTCTCTACCACTGGTAAAGCAGTGGTCAAAGGGCTAAAAGGTGATGACAGATAACTTACAAGAAAGGCACTTTACAAAAAGTGGTGACTAATAACCCATAAGTACCCTTTTATTACCTTTTTTTTTAAATCTTTTTCAAATTATTTGTCAATTTAATATTCTGAAGTTTGATGTTTTTTTTATTTTTTTGTTTTATTTAGAAATGTTTGGGAGAAAGGTTTTAAATTTCAATAATTTTTTTTTTTCCATTTTTGAAATATTTTATACTAAGATTTCTTTTTTATTGTCTAACAAATTAATTAATTTTTGTATATTATTATGACTTCTCTTTTTTTTTTTTCCTTGTTTATATCTTTTTCTCTTTATCTCTTCCTTTTGTTCTCTATATTTCCTTCTCTCTCTATCTCTCCTTCCTTTCTTCCTTCCTTCTCCCTCTCTCTCTATTTCCTTCTCTCTCTATCTCTCCTTCCTTTCTTCCTTCCTTCTCCCTCTCTCTCTATTTCCTTCTCTCTCTATCTCTCCTTCCTTTCTTCCTTCCTTCTCTCTCTATCTCTCCTTCCTTTCTTCCTTCTCTATTTCCTTCCTCTCTATCCTTCCTTCCTTTCTTCCTTCCTTCTCCCTCTCTCTATTTCCTGCTCTCTCTATCTCTCCTTCCTTCCTTCCTTCCTTCCTTCCTTCCTTCCTTCCTTCTCTCTCTATTTCCTTCTCTCTCTATCTCTCCTTCCTTCCTTTCTTTCTTCCTTCCTTCCTTCTCTCTCTATTTCCTTCTCTCTCTATCTCTCCTTCCTTCCTTTCTTTCTTCCTTCCTTCCCTCTCTCTATTTCCTGCTCTCTCTATCTCTTCCTTCCTTCCTTCCTTCCTTCCTTCCTTCCTTCCTTCCTTCTTCCTTCCTTCCTTCCTTCCTTTCTCTCTCTATTTCCTTCTCCCCTCTCTCTATTTCCTCTCTCTCTATCCTTCCTTCCTTCCTTCCTTCCTTCTCTCTATTTCCTTCTCCCTCTCTTTATTTCCTTCCTCTCTCCTTCTCTCCTTCCTTCCTTCCTTCCTTCCTTCCTTCCCTCTCTATTTCCTTCTCTCTCTCTCTCTTGCTCACTTTCTTCCTCGTCTTATGCTCATATCACATTGAAACATCAGTTCTTGTATGATCACTGATGTGTGTCTCTCTCTCTCTCTTCTCTTTGTCTCTCTTTTTTTTATCTCCCTCTTTTCATCTGTCTATCCCTTCATTTGTCTTTTTTCATATTTTATATCTCTTTCTATTTCTTAATCCTTTTTTTCTTCTTCTTCTTTCTAGACCCCCTTTTCTCCTGTCATATTTTTAAAAAAAAAGAAGAAAAAACTATTTTAATGATCACTTTTTCTTGTTGGATTTTTTTCTCCTTGAAAAAGATAAAGAATTGAAAACTGAAGAATGAATCGATATACAAAAAAAACGGTTCGGTTATTCTAACTTGCAGAAATTGTTGAAAAAATTAGTCAACCAAAATAATTGTTTGCTGATTTAAAAATCACAATATATTTTTTTCTTTTGTTTTTATGCCATAAATTGATCAGATTTTCTGTAATATAACAAAAGAATTTTTAGAATTTAAATTTTCTTTTTTAATAGAATTTCATAGTAATTTAAAATAGTCAATATTTTTTTTTATGTTTAATTTTTTCTTTTAAGAAAAAAAAAAAAAGTTTTTATAAGGTGTGATCGTTCAGTTCTTTGATTAAATTAATTTTTAAAAAGATTTACAAAAAAAGCAAACTTTTTTTTTTGTATATTAGCCCAAAGAAGGCAACTAAAAATGAAACTCGAAGAATTATTTAATTTTTATTCTTTTCATATTTGAAAATAAATGATTTGTTAGCTTGTTTTTAAATATTTCTCATTCTTACGGGTTAATGAAGTAGGCTGAAGATTAGTTCGGTCGAAATGCTGTAGCAATAACATAATGAATAAAAAAAGAATTCAGTTTTCTTAAGAAAATTTATTTTCTAAAAACGAAGAAAAATGAAAAAAATACATTGTAAAATTTGATAAGATTTTTGCCAGAAAAAAAATTATTCATTTCAAAGAAGCTAGCAATTCTGAAGAGTTACCTCCCTTGAACCTTGTTACCTGTCAGATTTATTTTTTTCTTTTTTTTAATGTTAATTTAGTAAAAAATATAATCACAGCCGAATTGTTATACTTTTATTATCGACAATGTGTCAAAGAAATATTGTAAAAACGAATTCTCTGCGGCTCTGCTTGGAGGGGTGTTCCCAAGCGGAAGTTTTGTATGTTTTTCTCTAGTTGTTTAAAAATATGAAAATGTATTTCTATTGAAAAATGCTTTTCCGTTTTCGCCATTATGATTAATCTGTTGGTTCTCAAAAAAGAAAAAAAAAAATCTAACTTGTTTTATTTTAAATTCTAATTAAAAATAAAATTAAAATTTGCAGCTATTAAATCTAGAGATAAAGGATTAATCCTTTAAATTTAAATAATTCAGTATATTTTTGCCTGAATTTTTAAAATGAGGAATTATCATCATTATTAAATTACAATGATTTGTTTGTAGTGATATCCTCATTTTTGTTGTTATAATATATTCACTTCCGCAGCCAAACATTCTTCAGATATCTTTCAGAGTTGGTAACCTGGGAATTTAGGACCGAACCTGTCATAGTAACAAAAAATTTCAGCTTTAGAGATGAAAAACGTTTATTTTATTGTGATGGGTGGTTACAAGCGAGAGGGGAGATGGGATGTGTGTTTGTTTTATTACCACAGAATCGTTCATTCAATCTCTAGATCGGGTAGTGATAGAAAAGAAAAAAAAAGAGAAAAAACAATACATTTTTTTGGCTCATTGCGAGAGACAAGTGACATTAATCACAAAGGTGAATAAACTCGACAGAAATTAACTGATACGAGTTATCTCCCCTTTCATGGGCAACGGAACGAGAACACTCTACCCTTGACGATTGAATTAAAAAAAGAAGTTCGATTCGAAATGAAAGTATTTTAAGTTTATTTTTACGTGAATATTCATCTTAAAAAATTATTTTCCTTTTCTTTTTCCTCTCGGAGTTTGAGGAATGAAAATTTTGCTGACACTATATATATATATATATATATATATATATATATATATTTGGTTGGATAGATACAAACTCACATCTATCCAACTAAATATGTTAGCTCTCTCTCTGATATTGAGCGCTTTCTAATAAGTACCGCGCATATAATATATAAATAATTATACATACTTATATTTATTTTTACACTTATACATATATATATATATATATATATATATATATATATATATATATATATATATATATATATATTCTCCAAGTATAGGATTGGTGTACTGTAAGTGTATACGGAATAAATTCAAATAACCAACAAATACTATTCTTAAAAACTAAAAAGAGTGCTCAATACAGAGTAGAGGAAACATAATTTATTGGAAATTATGACATAGATATGTTATAAAATAACTACAAAAATAACCATTTTCTTTCAACACTTCTGCTTTATTTTAGAAAATATTTCTTTCAGAATGTTTTGGTAAAAATATTTTTTTACAACTGTTGACCCCCCATCCCAACCGCCTTACTTAATTAATAATTTTATGGGAAACTCGAGAAATTCAAAGTTGTAACCTTTTATTAAGTATACTTAGTAAAAATTAAAAATTTTGTTAATTATATTTAGTAAAAAGTCAATTTAAATCATCATATTTTTAATAGCATTCTTAAAGAGTTATTTGTAAGTATTATTAGCCTATCTACATTTGGCAAAGTTTAAAGTTGGAATGACTTGAAACACTTATAGAAGACTGATCAGAATTTAATTTTATATCCATTTTCAGTTTTTTTTTCTTTTTTTTCTGTATCTCCACGCCAAATAATATTCACCCGGCAGCTTTTTTTGAATGAGAAAATCATATTTTTTTTAAGTAAAATTCAAAATATAGGAGTTTTTGCAGAGTTATCTCCCATGCCAGTTTTGTTTTTTAATGGCTGTAGTAAAAATAAGATTCCCTCCATATTTTTTCTCTCCGACTGAATATTATTTATTTTTATTGTTTTTGCGCTCATCATTTGCTGTTTTTGTTTTCCTTTTTTCTTTTTTTTTTTTTAACAAAATTTTCTGTTTTTGCATCAACAGAGAAATACATGTTCTGTTTCCGTTTGTGGCATAACCTTTAAAAAACAAAACAACGAAAAAAAAAACATTACGTTTTCATTTAAAACACAGTTGACAACTGACATGCTCACAACTTAATTCAAATTAAAGTTAAAGCTTAATTAAGAATTTGTTTAAAATTATAATTTTTTTAAAGAAAACACACACACACACACATATATATAACATTTGAACAATTTTTTTACACATCTTATTTTCAGAAAAGAAAACAGTAAACACTCATAGGAACACTAGAAAAATTATATACAAATCGCAATTGGAGTCATCTTTAATGAAACTTGTATAAAAGAAGGATTGCTGTCCAAATACACACACCATTATATATATATAGGCAGTATATCGCCATTCAAACATTTTTGCTTGAATAATTTAGAGATATGGCTGTTTAATTTTACTTTAGTCCTCTCGAATTCAACATCAACAAGAAATTGATCCGTGGATTTGAGAGGATAAAAATAAATAGACATAATGTTTAGATTATTCAACCATATATAATATATATATAATGTGTGTGTATTGATAATATTAGTGGTCAATATATATATATATATATATATATATATATATATATATATATACATAAATTCCCAATAGGATAGAATCCAGGTAGAACTCAATGTCCAGGACAGAGTAAGAATATATAATATAAAATGCTCAAACACTAATATTCCATGGTTATAATTTATTACCCTGGAATCGTAATCACAATCCAAATCATCAGACCTACAAATTCAAAAAGTCTGATGATTTGGATATATATATATATATATATATATATATATATATATATATACTTACACACACGGATATTATATAAAATGAGAGACGTAAGTTAAGATCATAAAGTAATGATTTTAATGGGTTATGAGGAAAATAAAAGCAGAATTATTTAATGTAAGTTAAGAAAAAGAAATTCTGTAAATGTGAAATTATTTGAAAACAGACCACAGAGAAATAAACACATCATTTTTTGCGTAAACTTTTAACGACACTAGTCTCCTCGTTACATTTGGGTTATTTTCATCAAGAGAATCTGTGCAAAAGTATATTAATTATAAAGTTACAACCAAGAACCGTACAAAGGTAGTAAAAATATGTTTGTATTACGAAATCTGAAAAGGAACTAAATAAAATACGGGACATTTGGGATGTCCCCAAGTGAAAGATTAGTACGGGACAGAGGACAAAATTATCCAGTACAGGAAATGTCCAGTATATATATATATATAGCGGCATTTAGCCTAATCAGTACCTAGGTGGGTGACTCCTGGGGAATAACCAGGTGCTGTAAGCTATGCGACAAGCCGCCTTTGGATACAATCTAGCTACTTATACTAACAGAAAACCTCGTGGATGTGATTTTGAACTGACAGGTCGTAGACGTAATACCGACCTGGAGTTGAATAGCGTCAGTAATTAATAAGAAATAATTTAGTAATTAAACTTGCAATTATTGTGGCAAAATTTAAACTTAATTTTACTTACATTTTTCTTATAAGAAAGTTTTTACATGCAAAGATGTGTATAAGTGAATTTTCTGTGAGTGTGTCTTTACATAATAAACGGTCTTATTTTAAATGTTCATTGAAATAGACACGTGTTTGATATAGAAAAAAATTCTTACATTTTAGTAAATGTCTTTACTCAGTTTGCAGGAGGAAAGAAAATACACGTGTATAGATTTAGACAATTTCCCATACCGCTTCTGTCGTTGGCGAATCTTTTGATCTCTAGCCGCTTCGCTTATCTGTTTGGTTAAAGGGAGTCCCTTTGTGTAGATTTGTGTCGTCGAGCTGTCAGCTTACTTATTTGACTGACTACAACCTATTGCAAAGTCTCGTATTTGTCTGTTTTTAAGAGGTACAGACTCGAATGTTTTTGCATTTACTCACAAGAAACGAGTGGTTGAACATTGTTTTTTTTTTATGCCTAGCAATGTGTTTTCTACTACGTCTAAAAAAAAAAAAAATCAAATTTTATTTTAGATTTTATTATTTTCGTGACGTTTTCCTGGAACCTGTCGTTTTGATATATGTATATATTGATCGTCTTTTTTCGTTTGTGAGCGGCTTTTTGACATGTCTCTGACATTTTTATATGCTAGCTGTTTTATCGATTTCAAAATTTAAAGTCCTGCGTTATTTGATTTAATATCATTTATAAAAGTAGATCTATAGGACATTATTAGTTAATATTCTATTTAAAAAGAATGGTTTCTTTTTTTCCCTGAACATACTCGGATGCAGGGTCGGTGCAAGGATTTCGTGTCCTCCACGAATTCATGGTACTACTACATTTCAATTTTCCTCAGGTAGTATTCATATAAAATACAAATTTTATTCTAACCTAATTATGTACAATCATGGATCTTATGCATATATAGGGGAACGATTCAAGTAGAAAAATTTAAAATAAATACAATGTATCTGAATATAAATTAGAGACCGGTCTTAAGTAAATTAATGTATTGCAGCAATTTTTAACATAAACTTGAAATTTTTCTTTCTTTCTTTTTTTTTTTTTTAAACGCCCCGATCAAGGCGGGAAGCCACTAGGACGCAAGGGGTTACAGAAGATTTGGAGCAAGAGCAAATAGGAGTGATAGAGGAAAGGATGAGGAGAAGGATAGTGGATAGATCATGGCAACTGGGGATGTCGATTGACATTACATTTGAATAGTTGGAGATTATAGCTCTCAGGGAAACAGTAATAGGGAGAGGTGCGAGGTATGAAGCTATTGGAGTAGATTGCTAAAAAGCTGAATAATTTTACGGCATTCAACATTATGCATAAAAAAATAGTAAATTTAATTTAGTCCATTCTTTATTCGATACTTAGCATGACTAAAATAAATTCACGGATTTGGACGGAAAAAACTCCAATATGACGTCAAAATATTTCATTCTTTAATCATCACTTGTGCTTAGTTTAATTTGTAATGTATATAAATGTACGTAGAAAAAAAACAAATAAAGCAACAACAAATGTTTGATAAGCTAGCCAGAATCACAAAGCATTACTCAAGGTCCCCAATCAGGCGTACCTCCCATGCCGGTCAAGGATTTCGGAAGATCATACTCACCGGCCCTGCTAAGATGTAAACGTTCTTTGTTCATTTTTAATTGTTTAATTTTAAATTATTTTTTTAAGTTTATATTCATTTTTTTTTAAAATTATGTTCTTTTATCCATTTGTGTAAGGCTAAATTTTGTCTGTGTGTCCCCTCCTCACATCAGTAGAAGAAAACAGTACCAGCCCCTACCGCTAACGTATAAAGAATTCATTATCATATATATATATATATATATATATATATATGTGTGTGTGTGTGTGTAAGTCCCCGGGTTACGACAATCTCGACCTATGACGATTCGTGGTTAGGACGCAATCCCCATTAATCTTGTTTCGACTTACACTGTTTGCCTCGGCATCATATGGCACTGGAGTGAGAAAGGTGGGAAGTCCCTGGTTGTACGCCATGTTGGAATGTTGTGCGTCTGCACTCTTTCGCAGGTACGTTCCGACTCAGACGGCAAATCGTTACGACGTGTCATAGGAATAGAACTCTGTCGTAAGTCGAAGACCCCCTGTATTACTAACGAATGCCGTTTAAAACGTAAGCGGTAATATATAACACAGACGTTTATTTCTTCTGTGTTATTTTTTAAAATTCCATATAAGCAAGGTTTCTCCCAAAGTTTTTTTTTTTAATTCATTGTGTTTCCATAGCAAGAGCTTATATCTGCTTTGTCAAAATTCAGTCGTAAGTTAGAAAACTTACAGCGTTCGTAATAATAGGTATTGTGGTTGTCTGATATTTCACATTATAACAAATTAGTCGAACGGAGTCAAAAACAAAACACCCCCACACACATTATGGAACTATCTAAAGTCAACATAATTCGTTTAATTAGATTTTTTAAAACTGTACCGGAATATTTAAAGAAGTTAAGAAAACAAAAACAAAAAAACACAGCTCTGAATTAATTCTCTTTGTCTCTCTTTCTTTCATTCTCTTTATACCTCTCTTTAATTCTCCTTTTCTTTCTCTTTATATTATTATTATTATTATTATTATTATTATTATTATAAATAATAATAATATTAATAATCTGAAAAGATATAAAAAATAATATAAAATAATAATAATAGAAATAATAATAAAAATAATAAAAATAATAATAAAAATTAATAATAATGATATAAAACACTAATAATAATAATAATATAAAAAATAATAATATAAAATAATAATAAAAAGTAAGTAAAAAAATAATAATAAAAATAAAAATAATAAAAAAATTAATAATATAAAAATTAATAATAATGTGAAAAAAATATAAAAGATAAATAATAATATAAAATAATAATAAAATAATAATTAAAAAATAAAATAATAAACAAAATAAAAATAATATAAAAAATTAAAAATATAAAAATAAATAAAATAATAATCAATAATAATAATAATAATATAAAAAGTAATAATAATATAAGAATTAATAATAATAATGATATGAAAAAATATAAAAAAAATAATATAAAATAATAAAAATAATAATAAAAATAAAAATATAAAAAATTAATAATATAATAATAATAGAAAAATTAATAATAATATGAAAAATTATAAAAATAAATAATAATATATAATAAAATAATAATGAAAAAAAAATATAAAAAATTAATAATATAATAATAGAAAAAATTAACAATAATATGAAAAATTATAAAAATAAATAATATAAAATAATAAAAAATAATATAAAAAAAGTAATATAAAAATTTATGATAATAATATGGAAAAATATAAAAAAATAATAATATAAAATAATAAAAATTAATAATATAAAAAATTAATAATATAATAATAATATAAAAAAGTAATAATAATATAAAGATTAATAATAATATGGAAAATATAAAATAAATAATATAAAATAATAAAAATAAGACATAATATAAAAAATTAATATGAAAATAATAATAATAATATGAAGAAATATAAAAAAATAATAAAAATAAATAATATAAAAAATTAATATAATAATAATATAAAAAAAGTAATATAAAAATTATTAATAATAATATGAAAAAAATATAAAAATAAATAATAATATAAAATAATAGTATAATAAAAATTAATAATATAAAAATTAATAATAATAATATGAAAAATATAAAAATAAATAATAGTATAAAATAATAAAAATTAATAATATAAAAAAGTAATAATATAAAAATTAATAATAATATGAAAAATAATAAAAATAAAATTAATAATATAAAAAGTAATAATAATATAAAAATTAATAATATGGAAAAATATAAAAAAATAAATAATATAAAATAAAAATAATAAAAAAAATAATATAAATATTAATAATATAATAATAATATAAAAATTATTAATAATAATATGGAAAAATATAAAAATAAATAATAATATAAAATAATAATAAAAATAAAAATAATAAAAAATAATAATATAAATATTAATAATATAATAATAATATAAAAATTATTAATAATAATATGGAAAAAATATAAAAAAAAAAATATTATAAAATAATAATAAAAATAAAAATAATAAAAAATATTAATATAAAAATTAATAATATAATAATAATATAAAAATTATTAATAATAATAATATGAAAAAATATAAAAATAAATAATAATACAATTAATAAAATATTAACAATAATAATAATAATAATAATATAAGAATATTAATAGTAATATAATAATAATATATAAAAATGTATATAAGGAACTTTATTTAAATATTCCACTCCTGTTCATCTCTATATAATTATGTCGAGAGCAGGAGATTCAAGTGGATTTAACATAATGACAAAAAGAACTTTAGATAATAGACATCTTGCTGAAAATGTTGTTTATACAGAAATTATTTCGAGGTAAGAGAGCTTGTATGACAATTTCTTTTACTCTGTTCGTAGGACGCGTTTTCTAACGTTTACAATGATTAGACAGCACTTAATATTTTCTTCCTTTTGAAATGATTTAGCCACCCAGGAAAAAAGAAAATTACCACCAAACAATTTTAAGCATTTTGCGAACTCCCATCTTTATTATCTCCCTTGTGTCTCACGTGAAGAATTAGAAAATTCACACATTCCACAAAACTGGAACTGAGTAAAAACCAAATTCTAATCAGAGTGCGAAAGAACAATCTCTAAACTTATTCCCCGATATTGACATTTGTTTTATGATTTTGATTAGCAGGAGATATGCTGAAATCACTGCGACTGTAGACAAAAGGTTTTTTTTTTGTTGTTGTGATTTATTAAATATTGTTCTGTGTATGTATTTACACATACACGAGCGTGTGTGTGCGTGTGTGGTTATTGTATCGACATGGCAGAATAGTGTGTAGATTTTGGATTTAGTCAAAAGCAGGGACCAACCAATCGCGTGGGTACAGGCGTTGACTTCTTTTGGGGAGGTATCGATTGTCTTCGGATCATCTGCGCCAAGGACATCGTGACAATGTTCGCATTCCCCAACCGACACTTTCCAGGTTTTCAAACAACTCAATACCTGTGACATATATCTGTATATCAGTTAGGGTCAGTGTTCGATATATAGCAAAAGATCGATAGATCTATCTATCTATCTATGTATCTATCTATCTATCTATCTGTGATGTAAAAATTCACTTTTATAATGTTTAGTTTTTGTTGCAATTTTAGTCATCGCTTTTTAAAACAGTAAACTTTGCCGAGGAGTGAAGGTAGTTAAAATAATAGCGGTGTCAAGGGAAAACCGTCCTTTTGATACCCCGACTTTTTTTTTTTTTTTTGCAGGCCTGAAGGTCCATGTTTGCCAAATATATATATATATCTTCAAAATCGCTTCTTGTTATTGAAAACTTTTCAACGATTTTTTTGTTTATTCTTATTTTTCGAACACAGGCGGAATGGCCCTCTGGTTTTCGCCCGTCTTTGCACTGTGATTAAATACTAGATGGAGGCCAAAACTGGAACTGGGTCCCCCCCTCTTTTTTCCTTTTTTTAAAGATACGATGCCCTCAACCCAGGTTCTTCAAGTTGGCCTCTTTTACCTTTTTCTTTCTTTTTGTTGTTGTTGCCCACAAATTCCTTGTGGTATGCAGTTACCCTGTCCTCCGTCTAGTATGGATTTTGGCAGCTACGCAAAAAAAAAAAACCTTTTTTATTTCATTTTCATTATTACCTACTAATAATTCTACCTAATGAAAACGAATTCTGTGACATGTCTCTTACCCAACTAGTTTACCAATCATCTCTGGCAGCTATTTCCGAATAAAAGTAACATAATGAATTAAAACGTGTCTGACTTTTTTCTTTCTTTTTTTAAAAAAATCGGTATCATCCCATGCAAGGCAGTAAAGCCACTAAGACGCTAACCAAAACTCTCCTCTGTGGCTAAATCGGTAAAGCACGTCAGGTTATATCATGGTTCCGTATAGGATACAGGTTCGATTCCTGTTGGAGGACGCATATTTTCTATGTAATTTTCTCGAACATTCAGGCCGGTAAATGTCGTTAATTCTGTTTATTATAAAACAGAGCATTTACTTAAAAAATGTATCTATAAAAAGAACGTATAAACATAAAAAACGTCTTAAAGCATAAAGATATGAGGTAGATAATGGATATTTAGATACTTTCAAACCAACTCATGATTGGAAGTAGTCGGTAGTGATTGGAAGTAAGGAAAAAAATAATTCTTTTTAATAATATGTGGAAATCTCCGCCTTTTACCTGAAGACGGACGCGAGACCAGAAACACGTGTAGTAAAATTATGGAAAATAAGGCATAATATTTTTGTAAAAAAGAAAATCCAAATTACAACCAAAAACGTTTGCGGCACATCTCTTCTCTTCTTTTTAATATACATACTTTTCTCTCGTTGGAACCACTACAACCTCGTTCTTATATATATATATAAACTCTATAATAGGTTTATATATAAAAGAAAAGTTTACTGAATCAGTGAAATTAAGTAACCATTTCTGCTGTCATAGTCATATACAAAAAAAAAAAAAAAAAAAAAAATGTAACCTCATATACATACTTAAACTTAATGTTAAAATAATCCTACATAATATAATGGATTCTAATACATTTAACTGTTCTTAAAAAGAATATAGTAAAATAAAAATTAAAAAGGAAAATATTTCAAATCGTAGTTAAATAAAAAGTATTGTAAAAAAAAATCTTTAATTTTAAAAGATGACGTTGAAAATTTTTTACCGTTAACAATTTTTTTTTTTTAAATTCAGACGACATCCATTCAACCGACGTCAGGTTTCAGTGTAAAATACATCCTCACCCCTTACCAAAATGTAGCTAATAACTGATACAATGATACTGTCATAAGGAAAATCTAGACACCCCGTGTTCAATTTGAGTAGAATATTCTGTAACCATGGAAACGTGATTTTAGCTGTGTATTTTAAAACCCGGTAAATTTTAAAAAGTTACTCCAAAATTCGCTTGAAGATGAAATGGAACTAATGCTTTTAATTTATTTGCAAAAAATAAAATTAGGGGTTTTAGCTTCTATTTTTGAAACATGGTTGGAACTGTGTGCGAAAATAACCATATTTTAAATCAATTA